CTTCAGAGCCAGGCCTGCATTGTGAGTGTTTCCCTGCCTGAAGGCACCGGGTGGGAAACATCACCTGGAGAGCCAGTTTCTCTGCTGCCTCACACTTGTGTTGCCATTGACACCTGTGGGAAGAGGGTGTGAAATGGTTCAGATGGATCAGAGGGGCAGCATTGGATACCCCCAGCTGTATGTGACTGTGTCTGGCAGCAGAGAATCAAGCCCACGTCTATAGTGCATAGAGACAAGTGTGTCTGTGATGGGACGTGGACGGGGTGAAGATTGGGGAAAATAGGAGAGTTTCCTAAATCCGTCTCTGTTTGGATAAAGGGACATTTTGCTTGCTGATGGCTCCCAGTCCTAGCCCCTAGAGGAGTAGCTAATGGATTCTGATACTGAACTGCCTCCTAAATACCAGAAATGTTCTGGGCAGGAAACTCCAGAGGGGCTAGCAATGAGGGACCCAGGCAGAAATGTCCCTGTAGACAGTTCTGTGCTTTCTGGTGCCCCATGATCTATGGGGTGTTGCCACTGTCAGGGAGGAATGCAAATGTAGCATCTCCAGAGAGCATGTCAGTGATGGCAATGAAGGAGACTGTCCACCAGATGGTGATGTTGCCTCACACAGTCTCCGCCAAAGGTTTCTATGGCCTGGGTGGCGCAAAGTCCCATGCTTTGATGCGGAGGAAGGTTCACTCATTTATCGGCCCTGAGGTGCTGAAAGGGCAGAGGTGCTGAGGAAAACCCACCTGCCTCCAGCAACCCTAGCAGGGCCCCAAGGCAGCACCGCCAACCCGCAGGGTGCAAAACTCACCCGGCAGCCCCCCCCCCCCCCCAATTGTGCGATTGGCTTGGAAATAATCCCTTTTTTATTTGCTTCTTGGTTTTGAGCCTTGAGGAGTCACTTTTTCAGGCTTTTCTGTGGAACAACCAGGGCTGGAAAGAATCAGGGGGGCGGGGGGGGAGAGCCATCTTAGTCTGTATCCACAAAAACAACGAGGAGTCCGGTGGCACCTTAAAGACTAACCGATTTATTTGGGCATAAGCTTTTGTGGGTCAAAAACCCCACTTCAGATGCCTGGAGTGAAAATTACAGATGCAGGCATAAATATACTGACACAGGAAGAGAAGGGAGTTACCTCACAAGTGGAGAACCAGTGCTGACAGGGCCAATTCAATCCGGGTGGATGTGGTCCACTCCCAATAATTGATGAGGAGGTGTCAATACCAAGAGAGGGAAAATTGCTTTTGTTGTGAGCCAGCCAGTCCCTACTCAAGCCCAAATTAATGGTGGTAAATTTGCAAATGAATTTTAGCTCTGCAGTTTCTTCTTGAAGTTTGTTTTTGAAGTTGTTGTTGAAGGATGGCTACTTTTAAATCTGTTATAGGATGTCCAGGGAGATTGACGTGTTCTCCTACTGGCTTTTGTATGTTACCATTCCTGGTGTCTGACTTGCGTCCATGTATTGTTTTACGTAGGGACTGTCCAGTTTGGCCAATGTACATGGCAGAGGGGCATTGCTGGCACACAATAGCATCTATCGCATTGGTAGATGTGCAGGTGGAATGAGCCCCTGATGGTGTGGTTCATGTGGTTGGGTCCTCTGGTGGTGTTGCTAGAGTAGATATGGGCACAGAGTAGGCAACGGGGTTTGTTACAGGGATTGGTTCCTAGGTTAGTGTTTCTGTGGTGTGGTGTGTAGTTGCTGGAAACTTACTTAACAAAAACAAACCCTGCTGAGATTCTCATGGAATCACCTGACTCCAAGCACTGGGGCTTTACGAAAAACGCCAGCTATCAGAGCTGGCAACAGCACAGGGAGCCTGGTTCTTCTCTCACTTACCCCAGTGTAAATTAAAAGTAACATGAGGGGAAACTGGCATAGCAGGCCAAGAGAGTGTGAAATATAGACTTAGTGCTTAGCTACAGTGCTTTAATATTTGTATTCCAGTAGCCTTAGGGACTCCAGTCAGGGATCAGAGCCCCATTTTACTTGGCACTATGAAAACCGAGAACAACAAGACAGTCCCTGCCCTGAAAACTACATCCTCAAAGCACTTTACAGACCTAAGACTGTTGGGAGGAGGGGACGCCCTCTTATGTATAGGGAACCTCTGACACAGAAGGTGCATCACACTAGAACATGGAGTGCCTGTAATATATCAAGAGTACAACTGGACCAGTGTACAGCGATAAGCATATGAAATGGAGCACTGTCTACACTAGGGCCTATGCTGTTGCTACCCTTGGTGGGGCTGCATCTCTGAGGGCCATTGCTATAACCTATTGGTACTAATTTTCCTCGTGTAGAGAAGTCCAGAGACGTTCACCAAGTTTTCAGTAGTCCTGCGCACAGTTGAAGTCAGTGGGGACTAGGAGTGCTCAGGACATCTGGGAATCAGGCCCCGTGTGGCATGCCCAAGTCAGCGGCAGAGGGGAATTGAATTTGGGAGCTCCGGGTGCCACTCTTGGCTCCCATCCACTAGAGCATCCTACCGCTAGTTTTATTTTACTAAGAGCTCCTGGGATGTGGCTGAGCTGACTTGGAGCAGCGTGGGTGGGGGTGTGGAGGGAAGGAAGGTGCCTGTTTGCTACCTTTGCACCTCCCAGATTCCAGAGCCTCCAGGAGACAGACCAGTCCCCAGTGTGAGCTAAAGCAGGCCAGGAATGGCTCCAGTTCACGTCCTTCCTCCCCCGGCATGTCGTGCACTGAGCTCTGCAATGGGGAGCAGCGGAGGGCTGTTCCACCCGCCCAAAGCCATCAGGGAAGTGAGAGTGGAAGCTCCCAGAGACCTCCCAAGTGACAGGGGAAGCAAACTGCCAGCTGGCACGGCTTTGACATTCACATGGGTCAACACCCACCTAGAGTGGCCATTGGCTCTGAATCAGGAGCCTGTCACTAGACACCTCTCCAGAGTGGGGTGGATGAGGTCTTGGCAATGCAGCTCTGTGACTCCTTGTCCCCACTTCTCCTGTCTCTCTCCTTTGTGACTCCCAGCTGAGGGCATGGGCTCTTTTCTGAGGGCACTGGGCTCAGAGTCAGCAGGCCTGGGTCCATTCCTGGCTCTGCCGCTGAGCGGCTGGGTGACCTTGGGCAAATCACATCCCCTCTCCATGCCTCTGTTTCTCCTCCTACCTGTTGTCCCTTCAGATGGTAAGCTGTTCGGGGCACGGGCTGCCTCTCCCCTGTTTGTACAACGCCTGGCACAGTGGGGCTGATTTTGTTTGCTCCTGTAATGCAAATAATAAAATAACAGCCCTCTGCTTGCTACGCTAAAAAAATCCACTCTGCAGACGCTTTTCCTTAGGTGGCCAGTGGGAGATGCAGGGCTGTGCTGTCACCTCTGGAGGGTAGGAAGTCCAGCACTCAGAATGCACCGGGAGACCTGGGCTCCCCTCGCTGGGTTTTCCCGGTTACCCCTAGGGTCAGGGTTAAAGGAACCTGATGGTCACCTGTGTCACCGCTGTCTATTGGATGGACTGTGTCAGGCTTGCGCGAAGGTTCAGCTCCCTCTGCTGGCTGAGCTGAGGGTTGCTGCTGCAGCTCACCTGGAAGAGTTTTGTTTTCTAGAGCTGACTGTTGGGAATTCTGTCCCGCATTGTTGGGATTTCTGTCCCGCACGGTCGGCAGGTGGCCACGCTGTCTCTGTGTCGGTGGCCGCGGAGCCAAACGCGAAGGGAGGTCAGGGAATGTGCTGCTTGCTGCCAGAAGCCAGCCACAGTCTTGATTTGCATTGCAAACATGAGCTGGAGTTTCCTGGCATGGTGCCCACCACGGGTTGCTAGGATTTGGGACGATAATGGCATTCAAGTCTGGGGGGAGCTTAGCTGCAGTGCCCGGAGCAAGCTGCCAATTAAATCAGGCAGTTAAACAGTCAGACACCTGCTGCTTTGAGTGGACTCGTACTTTAGAGACTGGCAAGACTTGAAGGAATCTTGAACATTCAGTTCAGCGTCAGCCCACCCTGTCCTGAGGTCGCCTGTCTTGCTTTTCCTCCTCTCTTTAGCACTCCCTTCCATCTGTCTTTCTTTCTCCCTCTAACTTGAGAAACTTTCCTCTCAATGGCCCATCTCACCATTTTCTCCCTCTCTCCTCCCATGCATGCCCCTCTCTGGCCTTCTCTACACACTGGAGTTGCACAAGTTTAACTTCGTTTTAAACCAGTTCAGTGAGACCGAGCAGACCCCTGTGTGAATGCATTTTATTCAGTTTAAGAGTGACTTAACCCTGTTCCTGATCAGCAGACATCAGGTTGATATCAATTTTCAGAGGATCCGTGCAGACATTTGCTTTGGTTTAATGATGTCGATTTTAAGATGCACCCCTAGTTTAAGCCACTGTAACTCTGCCCATAGATGAACTCGTTGCGTTTGTCACAAAATAGGGGACATCCCCTCCCTAGAGCGTCCAGCAGGCTGCAGGCTTGGATCTGCCCATAGCTGAGGTTTAGTGAGTCATCAGAGCAAAGGTGAATGGGGACAGATTTGTGGGTGGAGGGAACAGTGTATCCATGCATATCCCAGCATGCAAAGGGAATTAAAAGACCAGCATATGCACTGTCCCTCCCTCCCAGCAGGCTGTGTCACTGGATTACTTGTGCTAACATATGGTGTATGCTGCTCCTAATGAGAGGAGAGAATGGGGGCTGGGAGGCCTTGCTGGAGCAGATGGTGAATTAAGGCAGGCAGATCTAGATTAACGCACGGGATGATATAGCAGAAGGATTGCTCCTTGCTAAATGAGTCAAACCAGATTAAGACTGGGTGAACAGGTCAGCAGGTGACTGCAACCCCAGCTCAAATAAAGAGCTTTCTGTTCTCCTGGAGAGAAATGAGCCTCTCTGTGTGAAAACAGGGTTCAGATTCAGTGGCTGAATGGCTGCCCCATTATCAATGTGGATACGGGGCTTCTAGCATGCTCCTCTCCTGCTGGAACATTTCTGGGGGACTTTGGGTTTGAAAGGCTCTACTGCAGAGGACTGGCATGCTTCTGCCCCTTTTTGTTCTCTAGATGCCGTGGTTCAAAGGCTGGAAGGTAGAACGTAAGGAAGGAAATGCTAGTGGAGTGTCGCTGCTGGAAGCTCTGGATACCATCCTGCCTCCCACCCGCCCTACAGACAAACCTCTGCGTCTGCCCCTTCAGGACGTCTACAAGATCGGCGGTGAGCAAAACTATTGCTGTCTTCCCTCCCTCAGCACAGCGCGCTCTGGTGGTTGGAGCAGAGACTTTTTCCCCATAGTTGTCTGCATTTTCCAGATCTCATTGGGCTGTTAGTTGGACTTTGCAAACTCCACCCAAGATCAGACCTATAAGGGTTGGAGCAGAGGAAGCAAAAGGGAACACTGAGTTAGGACCGTTGCAAAGAGACCCATCACGGGCTAGTTTTACACGGCTGGAGATTTAGGGAGGCATTTGCAGAATGTTGCTTTTGGGGGCACAACCTGCACCCAGAATTAATTTTCTGAGCATGAATATCGTGGGTGAAAGATTGTGCCTGGAAACAGAGGTCTGCTGAAATTTGGTCTAAGGCCCAAAAGGAAATGCATGTTTATGATTCCTGGCAAAACTGTGCTAGAGGCCAGGATCAGGACAGCAAGGAGGCTCTGAGGTAGGTGCTGAGGCTTAGCTCTCGGGGGGGGAAGGAAGTTTGCTCAGTGGCTGCTCGTGCTATGCCCTGGTGTCACCAGCACTGTCTGCCACACAAGCACTAAAATTCACTGAAGAAAGTCAGATCAGCAAGCCAATAGCCTGTGCCCTTGAGAGATCCTTCTCTGCCCTGTTGGCACCTGGTCCCCCCCCCGCAGAGTCGGGAGCCTTCCAGTTGCCTGTGTCAATCAGTAACACCTCGTTAGCTAGCCTGTCCAGCAAACTGTGTGTGGGATATTTAAGCCAGACTGTCTCCTTTGCCCTGGTGAACTGATGTCTCAGTGGATATAAATATTTTGCAGGAGTCCCTCCTGCTTAGGGCACAAGGCAATGTCTGCTGAATCTCACACAATCAATTTACAGCCCCTCCCCTCACCCTTGCTAGGACTTGCTCAGTGTGGATGTCAGGCATGGATTGAATTTTGCTCCCCTGAAGCGCATTGCTGCGGCCTGGTCTTTTAATCGTTAGCCTGCCACAGCAGATCACATGGTCATTAGTTAGTGGGTCCCAGTCAAGGGCACATGAGCAACAGATACAGAGGGTTTTCCCATGGAGTAAGACGAGTATTTGGCGGAAAATGATACCACAGGGAGTACAAGAGCAGACTCCAGGGAGAGGATGGATCCAGCCAGGCTTCCTGGCCTCTTTGCAAGGTCATTTCTCTTGGTGTTTCTTACGTAACTCATGGAGTTTTCCAAACTCTTGAGAGGGAGCAAGTTGGTAAAAGGCCTCCCTTGGGTTAATACCCTCTCTTATTCTGTCACTCCCTGGAGCTAGGCGCTAATTCTGAGCAAGTATCAGGTGCGTTTTCAGGGCCAGTGTGAAAATGCTTAGCAATATTCAGGCCAGGAGATTGCTTTCCTGTCCCTATGAATTTAAATCAAGAGGCTTTACACGGGTGGAATGGAACTGCTTTCAGATGACATAGGGCTACACAGCTAGTCCTGGCTCTGAGGCCACTTCTTTGAGCTATAGAGGGTTTCTCAAAGCATTGAATGGGTATCATTTATCAGGCACAGAGCAAGGCATTGCTAGGGGCCCTGGTAGCTGATCTTTCCCGCCTTGGTTCTAGATTAGGCCGTAAATAAGCAAATAGTCCCACATCTTCCTCTGGTGTAAACTGACATAGCTTCACTGACCTCCGTGCTTTCCACAGCTGATGGTCTGGCCCACAGTCTCTGGGAATATGATAAGCTGACTGCTTTGTGCTCTGTCTTCATGTCGCCGCCTCTCTCCTCCCCGGCAGGTATCGGCACCGTCCCAGTGGGCCGCGTGGAGACGGGGATCCTCCGGCCTGGCATGGTGGTGACTTTTGCCCCAGTGAACATCACCACTGAGGTGAAGTCGGTGGAGATGCACCACGAGGCTCTGAGCGAGGCCCTGCCAGGAGACAACGTCGGCTTCAACGTGAAGAACGTCTCCGTCAAAGACATCCGCCGTGGGAACGTCTGCGGGGACAGCAAGTCGGACCCGCCCCAGGAGGCAGCTCAGTTCACGTCTCAGGTCAGCAGCACGGAACGGTGACCAGGTAACGGGGGTCTGTAAGAGTCACGTCCATCAGCGCATGCATGGACAAGCTGGGGACTTTCTGGTCACAGGTACGGAACAAACCTGTGGCTTGCCTATTGGCACATCAGGTTGCCGGACTGGATAAGATCATCTCAAGAAGGGCTGCCCCAGGCTAGTAGAGAATATCACAGCCAGCTCGAGGTGAAGGCTTTATAATTATGTAGTGCCTTTCTCCCAGAAATATCCCAGAGCTCTTGACTACCTGGTGTTCAAGCTGTGTACCTGCACATATAAGAATCGCTTTCCCCGCTTCTGAAATGTAGCCACCTCTGGGGTAGAACACAGCAGCTGTTGAACAGTGCACAGCAACACTGCTAAGCTAAGGGTGAACTCTGAGAGCTGGTAATGAAAGTCAGTGTCTTCTTTTCACTGAGTGCCAGCCACTAGATGGCAGTATCTTTTTCACTCCCCTCCCCCACAACGTATTGGGTACTTGAGCTGCGTGGGGTTTCCTTCACGGTTTTTGCCTCCACGTACCCTGGCGAGCTCCTTGTTCTGTGTTCCAGGTGATCATTCTGAACCATCCCGGCCAGATCAGCGCTGGCTACTCCCCTGTCATCGACTGCCACACTGCGCATATCGCTTGCAAGTTCGCCGAGCTGAAGGAGAAGATCGACCGACGCTCCGGCAAGAAGCTGGAGGACAACCCCAAATCCTTGAAATCCGGAGATGCTGCCATTGTGGAGATGATCCCTGGGAAGCCGATGTGTGTGGAGAGCTTCTCCCAGTACCCACCCCTTGGTGAGACAACAGGTTCATTGTTTACCTCCCGTTCCTACTACACATGCCCACAAAAGGGGGGCTTAAGGCTGGTTATTTCCCAGGCCGTGGTCAGTTGTTACTTCCCGGAAACCACGTGTCACATCAGGGTGAGGAGGTCCCTAATTGGAAAGGTCCTTGAGCTACTAAGAGTCTCCCGGAGTCCGATGACCTAGCATTTATGATGCGGACTGTGAATTTTTTGGGTTCTCTAGTCTAAATCAAATCCTGGCAGCTAACCAAGCATGTCATCTGCGAACAGGCTACTGCACAAAGTGGGATGGATCTTTCTGGGGCAAGGAGCCCCAGTTCCTGCAAAGGGGGAATGTGTTAAAGCAGATCCCTTTGGATGCTGTCGTGCACCAAGGTGTATTTGTGCGGCAAAGCTTGAACTTGTACAGCACAACTCTCTAGTTACAAAATCTTCAGTTCACTGAGCAGCAGTGCGAAGGCTAGCTTGATAAACACCACTTTACTGAACACTTGCCCTATTATTGGTACTTCTAAGCAAGGAATGAAGGTTATTCGGGAATTGTTTCTGTGCTAAATAATGTAAACTCATTGTTATTCTGTCCCTTTCCCAATTGAGTGCCTGATTGGCAGCTCTGTAGCAACTTGCAGGCCTTGCTTCTTTGCCTAGAACAGAGTTTAGTGCACCTGCTCATACAGCTAATAGCAAGGTGCAATCTGTGCACACCTCACACAGCCGCACTAGAGTGTAGAGGGAGAATTGCATGTTGGGATCTGTAGTCTCCGCCAAATCTGAGAGGAGAGCAGCCGTGGGATCGCATTGCAGGACTCACGTGGCCCACATGCGTGGTGCTTAGTATCTGGAATTGATTGCAGAATGGACAGGAATATCAACTGTTTTTCTCAATTCATTGACGTTTGTTTGGCCAGTTCTCAATCAGCCACACCAACCCTAAGGAAATAGGGTTACATGGAGCAAAGGAGGAACTGCATGAGGTCTGCGATAGGCACCTGCATCGAGGTCATGCTGTCCTTGACTTGCTCTTCCTTTCACTATATTTGCTCAGGAGATGCCTTAAGTTTTGAAGGGGTCTGAATTGGCCAAGCCTGGGGGATAGTGAAGGAGCTACTAGGTGAGGTTGTCTGTCAGAGTGAGAGGGAGGAGCTGGCAAACAAATCTCAGAGCACAGAGGGCATCCCTATGCAGCCCAGGGCTCCTTTGGAGGTGCAGGGCTCTGAATGAGGCATTAGCCTGGAACTGCCATCCTTACATATGAGGATCTCTTCATAGCCTCCCTGGGGGGCAGAGTGCAACACACCCAGTTCCTGCTGGTTGGAGGAACAAGATGCCTTGTCCCTCTAGGGCAGCCCACTATCCCTCCTTACTGCAGGTCTGTTTGTCTTAAGTACTTATCAGGCCCCCATTATGTGGTGTCTGAGCACCTCAGACATGTTAACAGACATACTCCCTGTGAGGTAAGCAGGACTATTGTCCCCATTTTACAGAGAGAAACAGAGGCCTGGAGATGTTTAGTGACTTGATCGTACACAAAATCTGTGTTGGAGCAGGGAATTGAATGCAGGTCTCCCCTGTCCTGGGCTAGTGCCTTAACCACTGAGCTATCCTTCCTCCTCTGTTCTAGTCTGACCACCGTCTGCCTGGTAAAGTCCGTTGCCTGCTCTGGGCATGGACTGGTCAGAAGGGGTCTCTAGGTCTAGTCTGAAATGGGACCCTACAAGTGTTTAGAGACAGCAACATGCTCCTGTTGTTCTCACACCATCTCCTTCCTCTCCATTTCCCTCCCCCCTGCAGGACGCTTTGCCGTGCGCGACATGCGGCAGACCGTGGCTGTCGGCGTCATCAAGAACGTGGAGAAGAAGAGCGGTGGTGCTGGCAAGGTCACCAAGTCGGCGCAGAAGGCCCAGAAGGCTGGCAAATGAATTGTAGGCTCCCCGTGCATTGCGCAGAAACCATCCCCGTCACCAGGATGCTGTCATCTTCTCCCTGAGGCGCATGTGTGCACATCAGCTTGTAAGAGTTTATATGTCAACGACTGGATGCTAACCATTAAGGTCCAGTGGAAATTCTTTAAAAGGAAAAGCATGTTCCAGCGTTTGTGAGGCTTCATGTTAATTTTACCAATAAACTGGTGCAACATCCACAGTGACAGTGTGTGTCCACGAGTGTGTGTCTGTTATTCCCATTGTACGGCTGGGCAACGAAGATCCCATTCCCAGAGCCTCAGAGGTATTTAGGCACCTAATGCCCATTGATTTCAAATAATTGATTGTGACTTGCCCAGGGTCTCACGGGAAATCTGTAGCAAAGCAGGGATTTGAGCCCAGGACTCCCCAGGCCTAAGCAAGTCTTCTAACTGCTCGACAAACTTTGCTGGCCATCTTGAAAGGCAACAGCATCTGTGACACTGGCAATTCAGGCCCCCAGTGTCAGGCCCTGACCTAGCTCCCAGTCTGCTTTACGAGCAGAAGCACTTTATTATTTAAACCAGGGCTTGATTTTTGAAGGAGCCACTGGACTGGTGTTTGCATGCACACAACCCTGCACTTGTGTCTGCAGAGAGGAGATTGCTCACGGAAAGTGGCTAGCTGCATCCAAGTAACTGCAAAATCATTGAAATGTAGGGCTGGAAGGGAACTTGGGACATCCCCAAGTCCAGCCTGCTGTACTGTGGCAGGACCAAGTAAACTTAGAACAGTGGCTCTCAGCCTTTCCAGCCAATGTACCCCTTTCAGGAATCTGATTTGTCTTGCGTACCCCCAGTTTCAGCTCACTTAAAACTGACTTGCTTACAAAATCAGACATCAAAAGACAAAAGTGTCATAGCATACTAGTACTGAACGATTGCTGACTTTCTCATTTTTAACCATATAATTATAAAATCAATGGGAATATAAATATTGTACTTCCATTTTGGTGTATAGTGTATATAAAGCAGTATACAGGAGTCATTGTTTGTATGAAATTTAAGTTTGTATTGACTTGGCTAGTGCTTTTTATGTAGCCTGTTGTAAAACTAGGCAAATAGCTAGCTGAGTTGATGTACCTCCAGGAAGACCTCCGTGTACCTTAGGGGTACACGTACCCCTGGTTGAGAACCATGGACTTAGAACATCCCAGTCAGTTGTGTGTCCAACCTGTCCTTAAAAACCTACAACAATGGAGATTCCGTATCCTCATGTGGAAGCCTATTCCAGAGCTTAACTATCCTATAGTTTGAAAGCGTTTCCTAATATCTAACCTAAATCTCCCTTGCTGGAGATTAAGCCCATTACTTCTTGTCCTACCTTCAGTGGACATGGAGAACACTTGATTACCGTCCCCTTATAACAGCCCTTAACAGATTTATAATCAGGTCCTCCCAAAATTGTCTTTTCTCAAGACTCCGCATACCCAGGTTTTTTTTAAATTTCCTCAGAGGTCAGATTTTTCTAAACCTGTCATAATTTTTGTTGCTCTCCTTTGGACTCTCTCCAGTTTATCCGCATCTTTGCTAAAGTGCAGTGCCCAAAACTGGACACTACTCCAGCCTGAGGCCCCATCAGCACAGAGCAGAGCAGGACAATGACCTCCCGTGTCTTACATATCACACTCCAGTTAATACAGCCCAGAATTAAATTAGCCTTTTTCGCAACAGCATCATATTGTTGACTCCTAGTCAATATGTGATCCACGATAACTCCCAGATCTTTTTTAGCAGTACTACCATCTAGCCAGTTATTTCCCATTTTGTAGTTTTGCATTTGATGTTTTCCTTCCTAGGTGCAGTACTTACACTTGTCTTTATTGAATTTCATCTGATTGATTTCAAACTTATTTTTTCAATTTGTCAAGGTCATCTTGAATTCGAATCTTCTCTTCCAAAGTGCTTGCAACCCCTTCCAGCTTTGTGTCAGCCATGAATTTTATAAGCATAATCTCCACTCCATTATCTAAGACATTAATAAAAATATTGAAGAGTCAGAGACCAAGGAGTGACCCCTGTGGAACCCTACTAGGTACGCCCATTGATAATTCCTCTCAGAGGATGACCTTTCAACCAGTCTTGCACCCACCTTATAGTAATTTTCCCTAGACCACATTGCTCTAGTTTGCTTATGAGAATGTGATACGGGATTGTGTCAAAAGCCTTTCTAAAATCAAGAGATATCACGTCATGTCTAGCGCTTCCTCCCAACCACTAGGCCAGTAGCCTGTCAGAGACAGAAATTAAGTTGGTTTGGTGTGATTTGTTGGCTATTCCCTGTTATCCACAAGGTGCTTACTAACTGATTGCTTCATCATTTGTTCCAGTATCTTTCCAGACATTGAAGTTAGACTGACTGGTCTATAATTCCCAGATCTTCTTTTGAAAGATGGTCCTAGGTTTGCCCTTCTCTGGTCTTCTGAGACGTCACACGCCCTCCATGCATTCTTGAAGAGAAGTGCTTACGTAAATCCTGCCCTGCTGACTCAGCTGGGGTTAGTTAGGAGGCGCCTTTGTAAATCTCTCCCACTTTGAGACAGGCCAAATTTTCATGGACTGAATTGGGCTAAAATCATTCCTACGAGTAGCTCCATTGATTTACAGACCTCGCCTGGCTACAGTGAGACTTGACTGATTTCAGTGGCACTGCTCAGGGAAGGAGAGCAGGGTTTGGCCCAGTGAGAGATTTTACCTGAGTAAGAGCCCCTCACCACTTGGTCCATTATTATTGTAGCACGTTGGAGCCCTAGTTATGGTCCAGGGTGCTTGGCGCTGTACAAACGGACCAAAAAGACAGTCCCAACGGTTATGACTAATGTAGAAGCTGTTTATGTTCTGCACCATTTTATTGCCCTACCTAGCATTTAGACAGTCAGTCCCTGCACCGTGACACTTCACATGAACACTAAAGCTTGACTTAACATTTTTTTAAATGTTTCATTTGCCAAGAGAAAATAAGAGCTTGTCACATGCTTCCAGAAGGATGCTTAATAATAACCTTGCGATATTCTGGAGAAGCGGCCACAGCGTGTCTTGTCTGTGGGCACGAGGCACTTATTTGCAGAATGTCTGGCATGGGGGAAAATATCATGACACTCAAAACACCAACCCTGTCCAATGGCATCACAGGAACGAAGGGCTCAAGCTACGGAATTCCGATCTGGACACTGGGTCTGTTTGCCCCCAAATTCAGCGTGTTTTACGGTGGGATGTTGGTTTGGCCCATTTGTAAAATTCAGACCTGGAATCGGATTTTTTTTTTTTTGAACGCTCCAAAGGACAAGGGATGCTCGAATCCAGGGAGCTGGTTAAACCCAGCCGCTAGATTGATCATGGCTCACAGGCATGTGCAATGCAGGGGGACCCACGTGGGTGGCACATTTACAGATGTGACACAGTGTCACTGAAGGTGTAAAATAAAAGGGAGCCGTTCTGATGCCAGGCAATAGGACTGGCTGGTGCTCGTCTGGACAAAGTATGAATCAGAACTGGTCTGCAGCCTTGTCAGGTTTAGGAAACCTCTGCAGAGAAGCGGTTGGCACTGACAGGGAAATATGCTTGTGGTTATTTTGGAGCTAGCATCTGACTGACACCAACAAATGGGCCCCTTTGGCCTGCCAGGGCTGATGCATGTGTGGGGAACAAAGCAGGAGGCATGCCAGAGAAACTGAATTCCAGCAAGGATTCTGGGAATCAGGTGCCCAGGACTGCACAGCCTGGGAACTAATTTAATAATGGGCCCTAAAATGGCACAGCTGCGTGGGGAAGCTTGCAGATCACCCACTAATATATTACTTGACCTCAGCCAGTGCTTGCAAAAGGGAGTGACTGAGAGCACTGGCTGAAGTCAAGTAATATATTAGTGGGTGATTTGCAAGCTTCCCCACGCAGCTGTGCCAGTGGACCTCCAACTTGATCTGCAACCCCCTGGGCAGTACCAGCTTGTACGTAAAGGTAATGTGGGCTCTCCAAATCCCTGTCTCTTAACGGGGGGGCAAATCTATTCTCCGATTGGCTGGAACATGCAGTGAGCCAGATTTCTAAAAGGCATCCGCAATGACACCCTCAATATTAGCGGGCAAACCCAAGGATACGCACAAAAACCTGTATTTGAACAAGCCAGCTGGGCACTTTGCCGTGCAATAATCCACTTGGTGCATCAAATATGGAGGGATGCACTTGTAAGCAGATGCTGAGGATGCGTTTTCAGAGGCTTTGAAAAAATAGGCCAAATAATGCAGACTATCGCTATGCCATAACACTGTGCCTCTCTCTGCGACAGCATTGGTTGTCCCTCTAAGTACACGCGCCATCTGATGTATCAGAAATCAAGCCACCAGAGCAGAACATCACAGGATCAGAGTTGCAGCCGTGTTAGCCTGTATTTGCAAAAAGAAAAGGAGGACGTGTGGCAATTTAGAGACTAACAGTGTCTCCTGGCTTTAAAAAGAAACATCAGTTTTCAAACTATTCCACTGGTATTAACTCTTACATTACAGTGAGAAAAGGTACCGATCTAGCAAAGAGAGACTGCCTGTGTATCCAGTTTGTTACCTCAGGCAAAATTCTCCCCAACATTAACAAAGGCTTTGCCTTGAGGGAGGACTTCCAGTAGCGTCACCCATTGAATTAGCTCCTCAGCACCGACAAGATGACTATGCTCCACCTGGTGGCTGTGTAGCCTTGATTTAAATTGAACTGATAGTTCTGTGTTAAAGCCCAGTGTGCCTAGTGAGGGAGACCAGCCTATGTTGCCACCGTTTTAAGATCCGCAGGCTGAGAGTCATCCAGGGTGACTAGGCGTTCACAAAGAATGAATACAGCGACCGCACACACAGTCACAAGAAAGAAACTGGGGCACCTACCATTGGCCACTGTCTGAGGACAGGATACTGGGCTTGATGTACCTTTGGTTCGACCCAGTATGGCCGTTCTTATGTTCTAAATTTTGTCTGTATTATAAGTTTCACCAAGCAGATAATCAGTGTTAAAATCACAAATACATACCTGAACCCTGAGAGAGCCCATGTGACAGCCACTGCTGTATTCATACTCTCATATATCATAGTGTCGGATGGAGCTCTCGACAGGCTGTCATCGATAGAAGGGGGTGTTTCCTGATGGGGTTTTCCTGACTTGCTTGTTCCCTCTATAATGTTACCGGAGAACCCCTTTTAGCCGGT